TTCTCTTGGGCTATAGTGCACATCATAAGGGGTATTTATGCCTAAATTCTAAGGGTAGAGTCTATACGGTGTAGAGTGTTAAATTCAATGAGGCTGTTTTTCCTTTTGCTATCAACTTTTCTATTGATAATCTTCCAGGTTCTGATTCAACTAGTATAACGCTGTCATCTCAGACCTAGCGGATTCCCACCATCACATCATCTTATCCTGATATTTCCAATGCATGTCAGTATCAGGATATTTCCTCTGGATCATCCACACCACCTAGTGTTCCTGTCTACAATTCCACTAACTCTTTGCCCATACCTTCATCACAACATGATCTTCCTAGGATTTCTACCTTGCCTGGAGCCTCTGCTAGTTCTCCAAACCACTTATCAATGCAACCTCCAATCACATTGGAAGTTGATCTTCAATCTTATCAATCTTGTGCTCCTTCCTCATCTGTACAACCATCTTCTTCCTCAGTATAGAATCTTCATCCGATGCTCACCAGAAGTAAGGCAACTGCTCTTCATCTCAGTTGCTCCTACTTCGCACACAGAACCTACTTATGTTGCCTCAACCTCAACTAATCCCCTATGGTTGAAAGCTATGACTAAGGAATATGAGGCTCTCTAAAAAAATCAGACCTAGTCCTTAGTCCCCTACACCAATGATATGACATTAGTTGGTAGTGGGCCTTTAAGGTGAAACTGAATGCGGATGGCAACCTTTAACGGTACAAGGCAAGACTTGTTGCCAAGGGATTTCATCAGACCCTTAGTATCGATTATTTTGAAACATTTTCTCCCGTTATCAAGGCTTCAACAATTTGTGTAATCCTATCTTTAGCAGTCTACCATCATTGGGATGTACAGCAGGTTGACGTGAACGACACCTTCCTCAATGGTGAACTCTCTGAGTTAGTTTACATGCCTCAACCTAGAGCTTTTTGGATTCATCTAAACCCCATCATGTCTGCAAACTTCATAAGGCACTCTACGGTTTAAAGCAGGCATCACGGGCTTGGTTTGACAAATTCAAAAGCTGCCTATTATAGAAAAAAAATCAAGAATTCCACCTCTGATTCCAGCCTATTCTACTACACTCAATACCCTATTATTTTTTATATACTAGTCTACGTTGATGATATCTTGCTAACTGGAAATGATAGCTCTCTTATTCAATAGGTTGTTGCTGACTTGGACACAACTTTTGGCCTCAAATTTCTTGGCTTTGTTCACTATTTCTTAGGCATTTCGATGATTCACATTGATCATGGATTGCAACTAAATCAGGACAAGTATGCTCAGGAAATCTTTCTAAAGTTTGGCATGCAAAATTGTAATTCATGTGCAACTCCAATAGTCATTGGTTCAAAATTACGCTTTGATGAAAGTCCTCTGTTTGAACAACCCACCACATATATAAGTCTCATTGGTGCATTACAATACCTCACTATGACTCGGCCTGATCTCTCCTTTGTAGTAAATAAGTTAAGTCAGTTTCTTAAGGCCCCAACCATCAATCATTGGCAAGCTTGTAAGCATGTTCTGCGCTATGTTCAAGGGACCCTTAACCATGGTCTCACTTTTCGCAAAGGTACCACTTTGCAGCTTGAAGGATATGCAGATGCTGATTGGGCCAACAGTCTCTTTGATTGCAAATCTACCAGTGGTTATTACATCTTCCTTGGTCCTAACTTGGTTCAATGGAGTTCCAAAAAGCAGCAAGTTGTTGCCTTATCAACTACCAAGGCTAAATACCATGCTTTAGAAAAAGCCTCCACTGAAATAGCGTGGCTTCAGAACTTATTTCAAGAACTTCACATTTCTATTCCGGGTATTCTAGATCTCTAATGTGATAACACTAGTGCAGGTGCCCTTGCCTCCAACCTCATTTTCCATGCACACACAAAACACATCGAAATTGATGTGCATTTTGTTCATGAAATGGTTCAATCCAAGCACTTGGTTGTACAATATATTGCCTCTTCTTTTCAAGTTGCAGATTTCCTAACCAAACCTCTGTCAGGTTCTCATTTTCATCTTCTTTGTGATCAACTCTGTATTTTTACTTCTCCATCTGAATTTGCGCTTGAGGGACAATATTGTCTCAAGCACAAGCATCAAATTCCAGATCCGAATAAAAAAATACTGAAGATTAAAATGTGTGGAGAAAGTGTTGATTTTGATTGAACTTGAGTTCCGGTGTTTTAGGCCTAAGGGACAAAAACTAAGTTTGAGCTCACTAAGATGAAGTTATGTGATGTGTTGAGTTCTGAGTTTGATCTGATTTTGAGTTCTGGGTTTTTAGGCCTAAGGGACGAAAACTGAGTTTGAGCTCACTGAATTGAAGTTCCTTGATGGTTTGAGCACTGTGATTTTTTTGAGTTTTTTGGCTTGAGGGACGATGTTAACTGTGCATGCAAGCCTAAAAACTCAAGCAAGAAACGACGTCGTTTCTATTTGTTTAAAAGAAATTGAATTTGGCGCCAACCAACAGCTCACGTGAACTTCTTCTTCTTCAATACAGTACGCACCTGAACAGAAAAAGATTCTCTCTGAATCAAAGGGTTCAGATGAAGGGTTTTGTGTTCGTTTCATTTTGTTATGAACGGTAGAGATATATTTTGACATGGATCAAAACAATTATGAGTATAAATTGTAAAGTGTAGCTACTGTTTTGTTAATAAGAAAAGCTTAACCATTTTTCCAGAAAATTCTTCTTTTACTTCTCTCTGTTTTCTGAGTTCCTGTTATTTACGTCGATGGCAACCGTTAGCAACAGATAATCCAATGTTATTTAGTGGGTTTTTCTTTAATGGCCGATAGCCAATCGATTTTTGCTATTGTATGAAGTATAATTTGGTCCTAAAGAGTGTCAAAATTGGGTAAGAGATCTTTTTTGAGACACTATTGAATCTAGGCGCTATCTTTACATGTAATCCCAAAATTGGGAAATTTAATATGATTCATCTAATTGTTTCGTCTAAAAGGCGTTTTAATTGGGCTTACTTAAGGCTTTAGTGAGTACTTTAATGTCAACTGACTTCTTGTAAGTTAATTGCCATATAAAATATAGTTTATATCTATTGAAAGAAGCTAAAATTTTAATTTTAATATTTTAAAATTTCAATATCAAAGACATTTTTATATTATTTTACAATTTTACTTCATTATTCGTTTTACATTTTTAGAACTCTTTTATATAACTTAAACTATAAAATCTCTTACATTTGTATGATTAAACAATTAATGATTTTTTTAAAAGAAAATTATATTATAATAATATCCATTCTAATAAAAACCAGTTATAGTAAACGACTTTAATCTCAAAAATATCATTTATGACATAATTTCTTACGTATAATAATATCAGTTATAGTTTTTGGATTTTTCACTTCAAATAAACTTCATTTTAGAGTAGAATTTTATTAGTTTATGGATTTGAAGCTTTCCAATGCATTTTTGCGTCGTATTTCAATTTCATTCCCAAACGCTAAAATTATGTGTTGTGATAACTGAGTCACGATCACATGATAACTTTACAATGCTATTTCGTGAGTTATTGAGATGTTATTGATACGCATTTCTCAATTGTTGGTATGTAGTGGGAAATATAATTTATTTTGTGAATTAAGCTAAATTTGAAAAACAAAAAGAAAATAAGGATGTGAATGTATACAGTTAGTTAGATAGTTGGCTGCATGGATAGCGGAAATTCTCATGCATGTAGTAATGGATAGCGTTATGTTTCATTTGTTTTCTTCCTTGATACAACATGATTACTTCTGTACAGACAATTCAACATTGAGTTGACTTACAGTTACCCAATATTCTTTGCTAGACCGTTTGTTGGGAGCTTCATTTTCAAATTTTCTACTCAACCTAACTTTCCTTTTTTTGTCTCCCACGTTACTTTTTAAATCAATTTACACTAATTTGATTGGTTCGAGCAAACAGAAGTTGCTTGTCATAATTATCATGTCTTCAAATTATAGCCAATGGTGGAGCTTGAAACGTTTGGTTTGGTTGTTTGTTTTTCATTTTATAAATGCAGATTGTGGCCAAATCGTCCGGACGCTGCCGGGCTTTTCCAGTACTCTTCCGTTCAGTCTTGAAACTGGGTGAGTGCCGTTATTGTTGCTCTACTTTTCTTCTACTGACGACGGAAGGACATTTTATTAGTGAAGTACTAAACTAACTGCTATGGGCATGACTACTCAGATATATTAGCGTGGGGTGAAGAATATGATGGAAATGTATAAATCATCGGTTGCTCATTTCACAATCTGATCAAGTATATGTATAGGCATGCCTTGAATATATCTAAGGCAAGACAGAAAAATAAGGATATTATGCCTATTATATTACAGGCTAGAAGGCAAGTGTCAAAACCCAAAAAGGAAGTCCAATCAAAACAATATATTCTACACTCCCCCTCAAGTTGGAGCATGAAGATTCGTAATACCCAACTTGCCAAGTAACATTCGAAATTTGGTTGCCCTCAAAGCTTTGGTGAATATGTCAGCTAGTTGTTTATTTGTTCTATCTCTTGCGATGTAATCTGCTTGCGTTGAAATTACAGTCCATCTCGATGTGCTTTGTTCTCTCGTGAAAAGCTGGGTTGGTTGCAATATGTAATGCAGCTTGGTTGTCGCAAAGTAAGGGAGTCGGTCGGCATTGTGCTACCCTTAAATCCTGTAATAGCCAATGCAACCAATTTACCTCACTCATTGTGGTTGCCATGACATGATATTCAGCTTCAGCGAATGAACGCCCAACCACTAATTGCTTCTTTGCTCGCCAGGATATTGGTGAGCTTCCGAGTGTGATTAAATAACCTGTCGTAGACCTTCTAGTCATAGGACAACCGCCCCAATCTACATCATAGTAAGTCTTGAGCCATAATGACCTTGACGACATGAGTAAAAGTCCTTGGCCTAGCACTCCCTTCAAGTAGCGTAGCACACATATTTTGGCAGCCATATGTGCATGTCTTGGGCCGTGAACAAACTAACTCAAAGTGTGCACTACATAACTGATGTCAGGTCTTGTGACGGTCAAATAAAGCAACCTTCCAATAAGTCTCTTGTAGTTCATGGCATCTACCAACTCACCTTGCTTCTCCGTGGATAGCTTATGGTTCAACTCCATGGGCGTAGAACACGGCCTATAGCCTTGCATGCCACTTTCTTCAAGTATATCTAAAGTATACTTCCGTTGACTAATGACAATGCCGGCCAAGGAACGCGCCACCTCTATACCCAAAAAATATTTTAATGGCCCCAAATCCTTAATTGGAAACTTTACCCTTAGATACCTCATGACATCCTCAATTTTCGCCTTACTATTTCCTGCAAGCACAATATCATCAACATAAATCAATGCCACAACAAACATTTCATCATCCTCATAGGTAAATAGCGAATAGTCCACTTTTGATTGGCGAAAGGTGATATTTATGAGAGAAGTAGTGAACTTGTGATGCTAGTTCTGGAAGCTTGGCGTAGACCATACAAAGACTTTCGTAACCTGTATATACACGTATCTCCCTGTTGAGAAAAACCTTGTGGGATTTTCATGTACCCCTCCTCATCTAAATCACCATGCAAAAAGGCATTGCTGACATCTAGTTGATGAATTCCCCATTGTTGGATAGCAAACATAGTAAGAAGACATCATACAATAACCAACTTTGCAACCGGTGCAAAAGTCTCATAAAATCTACTTCTTCAATCTATGTAAACCCCTTTGCTACAAGTTCCGCCTTGTACTTGTCAATGCTCCCATCTGGCTTGTATTTAATTTTGAAAACCCATTTTGAGTCTATGGCCTTCTTTCCTGGTGGCAGGTGCTCTAAGGTCCAAGTACATGTGTCTTCAAGAGCTTTGATTTCATTTTCCATCGCCTCCCTCAAATGCTTATACTTCACTGCCTTTGAAAAAGACTTTGGCTCATCATAGGATGTAATGGCTGCGAGGAAAGCTTTATGTGAACATGAAAATCTTTCACAAGACACAAAATGTGACAAGGGATACTCTACCAAGTTCACTGACTGTGTGGTTTCCCGTGACTGTGCAAGAGAGGGTGATAGCTCAGTCTCATAATCTTCGAGATGCTTTGGCTGGTTTCTAGTTCTCTGCACTTTATGGCCTAATTCTTGCTCTGGAATCCCTATATCTTTGGGAAATGTCTGATTTTCATTAGTACGCAAGTGTGACATTTGCTCTTTACTCCCTTTTGCATCTGGCTCCTATAATTCAATTTCTGCATCATGTCTAAGACTAGGCCCTGATGTCAACTCTACATTACTCTTAATACTTGGGTTCTTATCTACACCCATGCTTATCCCAAATTGGGCTACATCATGTGACTCTCCGACTTTGCATTCTATATGCGCTTAAGATGGCTCCACTAATGCAACCTCCCAATCTAATTCTCTTTGCTCCATCTCATAACTATCTATGGCTTCAAAATCATTTCTTTTATAAGGGAACACATCTTCAAAGAATGTAGTATCTCGTGACGTATATATTTTGTGACTCTCTAAATCATAAACCTAGTATCCCTTTTGCCCTATGGGATAACCAACTAAAATACAAGGTCTCCCCCTCATTTGAAACTTATCCTTGTGTTTTGTGTTGTCATGGGCATAAACAAGACTCCCAAAAACTCTTAAGTGATCAAAAGTTGGCTCTTTTCCTTACATGATTTCATAAGGGGTTTTGTTACCTATGACTTTCGAAGGCAGTCTATATATTAAGTAAACCGCTGTAAGCACACAGTCTCCCCAGAATAGTATCGATAGACCCGCCTGAAATCTTAAAGCCCTTACCGTATCAAGGATATGCCTATGTTTTATTTAAAGTAGAGAAAAGTTGAAGAAAACCAGTAAAGCTAACTGGTTCGAATGTGTATTGATTAAGTGAGTAAGGAAGATAAAGATTCTGTTTTTATACAAAGAATCTTAGACAAAGTAAAATAGTACCGTATGACAATTATATTTGTGCCTAATTAGAATTTTGCCTCTATTGATTATTGGTCAACATTCCCCCTCAAACCAAGCTGCATACATCTATTTGAAGATCACACTTGATTTTTCTTTTTACTTGAACATTCCCCCGCAAGCCAAGCATACTGGAAGAAGAATTGAGAAAATCTTGTTGTCCTCTGAAAGCTTCTGAACTGATCTGAGAATTGAGGCATCAATTCTACGACTTCAACAAAAACATCTTTTGTGCAGCTATAGAATAAAATAGTACATAAGTGGCACAACTTAATAATGAAACAGAACACAACACTAGCTTCAGATTGAAACATTACTAGCAGCATCACTTCACAATACTAAAGCACCAAAAACACAACAGCACCAATTAGTAATACTGGAGCATTACTACTGAAGCATCACAGTAGCATCACTTCAATAATGAAGCACCAAAAATAGAACACAACGGTAATTCCCTTCATAGCAAATCTCCTCATAAAATAGTTCTATAATAACATAATACAATAGCAATTCACTTCACAAACTAGTTTTACAATTACTGATGCATTTCTTCTTTATTGATTACATTAAGCTTTTGCCGTAATTCTGCAAATTGGGAAGCAGACAAGGCCTTGGTCAAAAGATTTGCAATTTGTAGTTTGGATGGCACATATTGTATAGCCACCTTGTTAGCCAACACCTATTCTCTTATGTAATGGGCATTTATTTCTATATGTTTGGTTCGTGCATGGAATATTGGATTAGATGCCAGGGCAGTGACACTTACATTGTTGCACCAAATGATAAGTTTAGAAGTTATAGGTATGCCCAACTCAGCAAACAAACTTTGTAACCAAGCAACCTCTGTTCTAGTTTGAGCCAAAGCCCTATACTCAACTTTAATGGAAGATAAAGCAACTACTTTTTGCTTTCTTGAGCTCCATTGAATTAAATTTGGACCTATGTACACACAATATCCACTAGTGGATCTTTTATCTTCCAAATTACTTGCCCAATCAGCATCAACGTAGCATTCAATGCTTAAACTTCTTGCAGGCTTAAAATATAACCCATGATGCATTGTTCCTCTAACATATCTCATAATCCTTTTGCAAGCCTACCATTGTAAATTAGTGGGAGCTGATAACAATTGACCGAGTTTGTTAACTAGAAAGCTGAGATCAGGCCTGGTAAGAGTGAGGTATTGAAGTGCTCCGATTGTGCTACGAAAAAGACTAGGATTCTCAAAAGATTCACTATCATTTGAAGCCAAATTTGTACCCACAACCATAGGTGTACAACAAGTGTCTACATCTAACAATCTGGTCTTAGTTAATAGGTCAGACACATACTTAGCTTGCTTCAAATGAATGCCTTTGCAAGTTCTTATAGCCTCCAATCCAAGGAAATAATGTAGTGAGCCAAGAGTCTTGAAAGCAAATTGATCATTAAGCTCTTGCATCAGCTGAGTAATGTAGGTTGGATTGGACCCTGTCAAGAGTATATCATATACATACACCAACACATAAGTGAGACAAGAATCTTGCTTAAGGATAAAAGGACTAGAATCTGAAATAAAGTTCAGAAATCCTTTGCCAAGCAAGGCTGTTTTCAATTTGTCAAACCAAGCCCTTAGGGCTTGTTTAAGACCATATAACGCCTTTTGCAATTTGCATACATATGTAAGCTAAGAAGAATCTTCAAACCCAATCGGCTACCGCATGTATGTTTCTTCATTTAAGGTCCCATTCAGAAATGCGTTGTTTACATCAACTTGTTAAACATCCCAACCATTTGTTACTGTCAAAGTCAGAATTATCTTGATTGTGTTGGTTTGACTACAAGACTAAAGGTTTCAAAGTAGTCAAAACAAGGGGTTTGTTGGAAACCCTTGGCAACTAACCTTGCCTTGCACTTTTATAATGTACCATCAGCATTGAACTTGGTCTTGATCACCCATTTGTTTCCTACCAAATTCATATTAGGAGACACGGGAACAAGTGTCCAAGTATTGTTATGAACCAGTGCATCAAACTCAGTTTTCATGGTTGCTTTCCAGGCAAAACTAGCTAAGGCATCTAATACTGATTCTGGTTCTAATTCAACTTGATACTGTGTAGAAGCAATAATGGGAGTAGAGGATACATTTTGTGTAGTAATAGAAGCAGTAGGATAATCATTATCAGTGCAGGTTTAAGCAGAAGTTATGGCTACAACTTTTGCTCTTATCAACATAAGATGAGTGTTTAATGCTAATGGCTAAGTGGACTATGAGTCTTTAAAGAATTTAGACAATGTAAGATCCACTTCAAGTGAGCAAGATGAAGGTATAATGTGTGATGGTATAATTGGCAGAGATGAAGTTTGGAGAGATTTAGTTGAAGGAAAACTGATAGAGGAAGCTATGTTTGTAGGTTGTGTGGTTGTGTTTTCAATTTGCCTCAAAGGTGGAGAAATGCTTTAAGTGTGAATGTTTGGTTGACTCTTAGGTAAAGGTGAAGAAAGATTTTTAGGTTAATAATTTGGTTGTCTCTTGGGAGGTTTTGTAGGTAAAGGGGAAGATTGTGTTACAGATGCAGAGTTAGAGTAATGATCTCTTGTTGCATTATTGTTAGTGGACTTGTTTTCAGGGCTAACTGTTGTAGAGGGACCAGGAGCTGCACCAGAGGAAGTAGGATGAATAGCAACAAAGGGAAAGGAATAAAGAGATTATATGTGAGACTCTTGTAAAGTATTTGGTATGGATGAAGAGCAACATGAGCCTTGAGAAAAAAGAAACTCAGACTCATTGAATTTGACACTTGGATTGATAATGAGTTTACCATATGGTTTTAAACACCTATAACCCTTGTGAACAAGACTATACCCAACAAAGACACACTTGACAGAGTGAAAATCAAACTTATTGGCATTCTACATGCGAAAGAAAGCAAAACAAGTGCAACCAAAGACTTTTAAGGTATCATAAACGGGTTGATGATTAAATAACTTTTGATAAGGTGACATGTGACCAATTGTAGTAGTCGACATCCTATTAATAAGGAAAACAGTAGTATCAAAGGCTAGCCACCAAAAACGTAGGGGCATAAAAGCATGAACAAGAAGGGTTAATCTTGTTTCTACTATGTGCCTATGTTTACATTCACATCTCCCATTTTGTTGATGAATGTAAGCACAAGAGTATCTAAAAAAAATGACTAATTCAATAAGGTAAGGTTGCAATGCAATGCACTCTCTTCCTTGGTCGAATTGCAAGCACTTGAGTTTGTGACCGAATTGCCTTTCGGCAAGATGATGAACTTTGATGAATACATATTTTATTTCTACCTTTGTTCAGAGAGGAAACAACCATGTGTATCAACTAAAGTCATCTAGGAATTGCACATAATATCTAAAGCCCTCAACTGAAGGTAAGGGTGAAGACCCCACACATCACTATGTATTAACTCTAGAGGTGCAGTGGATGTAGAGGAGGATGAGGGCAAACTAGTAAGGTGCAATTTTCCCATTTGACAAGCATCACAAAATTCAGGAGCAAAAGTAGAATTAGATTAAGATTGATGAACGACATTTTTTAGTAAAATGGCAAATATTTTGTGCAAAATAAGAGAATGTGGATACCCTAGTTTATTGTGCCATGTCATATGGGTATTAGGAATGGTATCAATAAGAAAGTAGTAG